CTTCTCATCGACAGTGACGACAAAATCGGTTTACCAGGTTCCTCTACACCCGAGTCTCCCGAGGAATTTGTATAACAGATTTTCCCCATCATCAATGTCATGTCTCGACAGGTAAGTTCGTCGTATGTGATGCCACCGTTGATACAATAACAGGTACGCCGGACACTACTGTGAAAGGGAGATGTGTGTAAGCGACTGTAGCGGTCATGGAGAGTGTGTCGATGGTCAATGCTTATGTGAAAAGTAACAAGTGACTGTTATCGTCGACTACTACTCATGTGTATCAGTTTCTATTACGGTGATGACTGCAGCATTTTCATTCCCCGGGCGGGAACACTTCAGAAGACTTATTCGATGACACTGGCAGTCGTCCTCTCTAGTCTGTACATTCCTTGAATGAATTCGATTTTTTCTCATTTCCAATGGTGTTATGTTCTAGCTATTCCCATTCTGAGGGAGTTGGTGAATCCAATTAATTTCTAGAGCTGCACAAGTACTCTCGAAAACCGCTGTTGACAGGCAACTTATGGGTGATTGAAAATCGCCTTTTTCACCAACATGAAATTTCCTACACTGTTGTTATGAACTTAATCATTTTGGCACTGTATTAACTTAAGTGTCTGTCCCGTATTGAAAGCTGTTCCCTCAACACAACAGCATTTCCCATCCAATGTGGTCACAACTAGCAAGACATGATTTGTTCATTCCATCTCATGCATCGACTTTCACCAAATGCCCTAAAACAATACATAACTAATCATTGGTAAAAGTGCGAGTCGATATACCTTCTTTAACGTTATAATGAACATCATGCAGACCGGCGAGCTTTTCCGTGTTATGACTAACCGAAAGGACCCCAGTAGTTGGTGGTAAATTCTTTCGTAAAGTCTTGTACAACTCAGCGTGCTGGTCAGCGGCCAAATTGCTCGTACCTAAAACGTGTTCGGAAAACACCTCAATATTCTAGTCTTTCACTTTCATCTAAGAACAGCCACTCTGGCTTGCTGAGCAAAGCATGAGCCATCTCGAGCCGCTGGGCCTCGCCAGCCGATAGAATCATTGACCAGTGTT